TAATATAGAAACATCCAAAACAGATACTTCTTAGTTCTATCTTAGAGTAATAGTTGTTAATAAAATTTGAAGACATAAAACACTAAAAAGCAGGCATATTTTAGGTAGTTTTTCTTAGGTTCAAACCTCTTTTGCTTTTTGGCAGACTCTTTAAGTTATTTAGCATCCATTCAAAAAAATATTCTAAAAATTAGTCTTACTTTCATATAGGTTGTTGTTATAAAGTTCAAGAAATATAATATATTAAAGAGTAAATATAACTTGAACAGTTTTTCTTGGAGTTAAGTTTTTCTTCTATCTCTATTGACAGTCTTCAAGTTATTTGATATTCAAACTAAAAGAGCTATTTTAGAAACAAGTAGTAGTCAAAAGACTCTCATTCAAAAAGTTAAAGCTTGAAGAATTGCCTATACAACTGTAAAACTTACAGAAAAACCTCATATTTTCATTAACTTTTAACTTTTTTTTAAAGAAAATTTTGTAAAAAAGTAGACAAATTAGCTTATTCTCTTTAAAAGATTGATATATTATTTACTTATCAAATTGTTTACATTGTTTACTTTTTTATTTTATTTTTTTTTTGATGTTAAGGTGACCACTTTGGGGTCTGGCACATTTTATTAAACTTTGGATTGAATGCCAGGACAACTACATGGGCTACTCCTAACTTTGTTATATTAATAAAGATATATTTTAGCTATATCTGAATCTTTTGAGCACCTAATTAAGTAGTTCTCTATTACGAAAGATACTGTACCTATAATCCACTATTACTTAAGTTACTCAATTAAACCCTCTGATCAACTTAGCACTGTCAAATATTCTTCCTAAAGAGGAACTGCTGCTAAGGCCTCTTAAGACTACTTTATCTTCATGATAAACCTATTAGAGCGGTCTATGTTCTATATATATATTATCTAGGTTTTGATAACTTAAGCCTAGGCTGTGGCCAAATACTTGCAGCTTTTTACCTCCATTACTATTACCTACTCTGTGCTATTGCAAAGTTTACTCAAACCCCAGTACCCACTTTATAGACTATTAATAGTACTTCGATGCCAACTAACAGTGTTCCAAACTTCCAATCCAGATGGTCTGGGAGAGACCAGTGGATGTCTCTTGGTATTCTGAATGAGTCCTTTTTCCTTCAGCTAGTTTGGTGGTCTGGTTGGTGTAGTGCTTGCCAAACACTCAATCCTTATTCAATTTACTGCTGTCTGGTTTCTTATATAATAATTCTTTACATAGTATTGTCAAAAATCTGTATTATCTCTTTACTTAGAACTTCCCAAGCAAGCTTCTGTATCTCTCAATTCTTTGGATTTATTTGGCTACTTTGCTCAGATTTTGTATAACTTATACATTACACTACATTCCACAACTTCTCAATACAAGTAGGTGAGACCAAAGTCACAGGTGCTTACCCAATCAATATATCATATAGTTTTATTGTAATGTATTTTTGCAAATTCGAATTTCATTGCTAGTGGGATTTGAACTCTTGTCCTGCCACTTAGGATGTGACAACTTACTAACTATACTAAGTCACTACACCCTATTGTTGTCCTGTATATTAAAATCTTCAAGAATAATAGAATGAAGATTTTGTTGTATAGCAAGTTGTATCCAATTAACTATAATATTTTGGTATTATTTCTTTTGAACATATCAGTAAAAGAGAAATAAATAGAGATAATATTGTTACAGTACCGTGGCCTTCTTAATAGCAGTACTATAACAATAACACAGCTACAGGGATCCTTCACAAGTTTATAGTGGTGTTCAACAGGTAAGTATAAGTTCTGCTTCTTGGAGAAACTATACCCTTCTGTCTGTGGCAGTTTAGGCAGACAATAGTTTATAGATAAAATATATGTTTATTAAAGATAAATAAGATAGGCTATCCTTAGATTTCTATTTCTAAAGAATCCTATAATATTACAAGAGAGAATTTAGAAGAAGAGAGAAGTGGAGTAGACAATAACAAGTCTGTTGTTATTTTAGGTTTCTACAGGTCTATCAGGTCTAATGTTAACTTAGGAAAATTTACAGCCTTTTTATATCTTTAGAGCTAATTGCTAATTGTTGTAGCTAAATGTAGTTTACTTAGTGCTAAGCGTTAATTGTAATCATTAATCATTAAGCGTTAAGTGTTAATCACTAATCGCTAATCGCTAAGTGTAATCGCTAATCATTAAGCATAATCGCTAATCGCTAAGTATAATTGCTAATCATTAATCTCTAAACGTAATCGCTAATCGTTAATTGCTAAGTGTTAAGCATTAAGGCTAATTGTTATAAATATCTTTTAAATTCTTCTCTAAAATAAATATAATAATAACTAATAACTAATAAAATATAAATATCAAAATAATCAAATAATACTAAAATAAAATAATAAACTAATAAAATAAAACTGTTCTATAATAGTAATAAGATTGTCTAATATTCTGAGTATATATAAAGATACCAAATCAGGCTTTGATTATATCTATATAAAAGTTTATAATAAACAATTTTAGAATCTACTTACTTTTGAGATTTATAATACAAATAGTAATACTGTATTATTAGAGTTGGTATAACTCTCTGGATATAATATATATGATAAAAACTCAAAATGGCTAGATTCACTGGACTGATAGTACAATTGTATAAATTAGGCTTGTATATCAAAAATTGACAAAGAATACTAAATACTGAAATTAGAAGTATTATGGATTACAAGCTGCAACTAGGTCTAGATCCCCTAGTGCTTTGTAATCTAAAATATCAGAAAACTAAAATACTATAGCTCAAACTATGAAAGAGAAGTAATATGAAACCTGCAATCTGAAAGTTAAAGAGTAATCTATAATACAATAAGGCGAGCCTGCACCAATACATGGAAGTATCTACCTAATATAATAATAGAAATCAACAGCATAATAACTAAACTAGATGTTAATGACAAGGCTTAACCTAAGCCAACATGAGTTCTTCTTCGTAATACTATCTGAACAGATTAGCTGAAGATAACCAAGATTGGAAGTAGTCTAGTAGTGTGATATTAATGGTTCTGGCTCAAAATTATTTAAATTTCTATCCAGAAGGTTAAAATACCTATTGATAAGTTATATATCTTTTCATGGTTTATAAAGCTTTTTGACCCCCGAAGAGAGAGGTACTTCTTCTCAGCTATCCTGGATGGCGTTAAAAAATAGTAAGAAGCCTGAAATTCAATTTTATTCATTTCGGGATTTCTAGAGTTTCTGAAGCTTAAAATGGTTAAAGTTAGGTTTTGCTCACATGCTTTTAAAGTCTAACTTTTTGTTTTATCAGTTAGGGGGCTATAGAGCTTAAAATCTTAAATTTTCTGTGCAGTTTTGCCTGGTTAGGTTAGTTTTAAGTCTAACTTTTGCTTGCCGGGGGCTTGGGCCTGTTTGCCGCTGAGCTAGGAGGTTGCCTCTTGGTAAGTCTATCCCTCGTTCTTCCAGACAGTACTGCCTGGAGCTGCTTTAGTTGGGCGCTATTTGGGTGAAAGACCAACTTTGTCTACCTTCTCTTCGGCGTGTTCTTCATAAATCATGAAGAAAAAATAGACAGAGTTAGCCTTTCTTTTTTTTCGCAAGCTCAAAAAAAGACAAATAAGTTATCTCAAAAGTAATCACTAATTGGATGTAAACCTGTAGTAGATCAAGAGTGTGCAAAAAAATATTTTTAACCTAATCTAGTAAACTTCTGTTAGTATAATCGTGATATGGTGGACATGTTGGCTTTATATTATATGGTTTTGGGGGTATTGGTGAGGGTTTCATGCATTTGTGCTTGAATGTGAGAGGTAAAACTACTTCTATTTCTATTTTTCTGCGCCTTGAAGTAGTATATTGTTTTTCTGTTTTTATATCTCTATCAACAGTAACTACTCTCCAGCACTCAAAGCACAGTGCTACGTTGCTTTTGTGTATTTGGGGTCTGCGGTAGCTAATATGATTCATATATTCTTCATGGTTTATATAGAATGTTTTGATCGTTCCCTGCCCTGATGATGCGAATAGACATTGTGTGTGATATATACTATACACTCCTCTAGAGCGCAATTTTTGCACTTCATCCTTTACATGGATGGCCCATTGTTGTGGTGTTTCACCGGGATTAATGATTGATAAATCATCATATTGCTTTTCCATTTTACACATGTTTTCAATGCGATGATAGTTGTAACTACCATATTTCACTAAATGATCCATTACATATTTCAAGTCATATCCTGGGCGAATGCTTTCTGGTTTAGTGCTAGATTTGTTAAATTTAGTATCAATTATCAGTGGAACTGGATTGTACATTTTTATTAACAATTTTGTGTTTTAGAGTTTTTAGCGTTTTTGACTGTTTTTATTGTTTTATTGCGCTTTTTTGCTTTCCTATATCTATGGATATCGTGTTTCAAATTTATTTTTTCATAAAAAGGCTGTAGATGTGCCAAAGGTAATCAATTTTTGCATCTCTGAGCCAGTTTTTTCGCAAGCTCAAAAAACAATATATAGTAACTAATTCAGGGTTCTCTTACTTTCTGGCTTCGAGTGATTTTATCACGAGAAGGCGGTGATATATAGTTAATCATTATAAAGAAATAGTTGTTCACCGTTTTCCTAATGCTATTCTTGAGATTACAATTGAGCAATATATTTATTTATTAACATGGGTAGAAAACTATCAATGTGAAATAAAAATCTATGAAGTGATGCGCCAAAAAATTTATTAATACATACAAAAAATAAATATAATGTTCAGAGATATGGAATAAATATTTTTCCTGTTCCATGCTTCATTCCAGGAATATATCTGGTATACTTTATTTACTGACACAGGTAGAAAAGTGTCAATGTGACCCTGAAATTGAACCACAACCAAGATGATTTGTTTGTTCACAAACTTCCAAAGCGCTTAATCATAAAGTAAACACATATGTGTGATCAACCATATGTAACAGCAATTTAATCATTTTGAAATATAAAGTATTTATTATGCTATACTATCACATGACTTAATGGTTCCATGGGACTGCTTTTTATTTTGGCCTCTTTTAATTGTCAGAAGTGCGCATAGAGCGCTTTCAAGAATTGTAGCAGACAAAAATGTTAGCAATTTTTACTCCACTATTTAGTGAAAAAAGTGTCAACGAGGCAGCCATGTGGCGCAAATATAGAGTAACAGTAGTTTAATCAGATATCATATCTCTACTGAAATAAGCATATATTGATTTCCATTGATAATAAAAACTTAGCGCATTTGATTGGCACCTAGTCGATCAGATTTATGAATTTCAAATTAGTGCCTGCAGCAACACTTTTTTTCTAAGAATACTGTGATTTTGGGTGAATTAAGTTCGGCACTAATTTCTGATAATCTGTCTACTAATCGGAAATTGGGATTTTATTAGCTTGCCAATTTTAGCGCTAAATTGAAAAGCATTTGGTGCCAAGGGGGGAAACCAATTGGCTGTAAATTACTGAGATAAAAAATATATAGTTAACTTACTTTTTTTGGGGCAAAAAGAGATGCCCCACTTGGCAGTTTGTGGAGTGCACTCCATTTCTTCAGTGCTGAAAAGGGCAGAAATAAAGAAGTATAAACCGGCAGTAGCTCGTGGAAAGTGGACGCCTATAAATTAGCAAGCTAACAGAATCACAACTTGGACCTATTCTTGCACCTAAATAGCAGACTAAATGAACTAAAAAAGAAGCTGGCCCGAATGTTAATAATCAATAATATGCAATCGGCCTAGCGCCAAAGTTTTATAAATAAAAATGTAGATTCAGTTCACCCAATTCCTGAACTGAATTCTTGGTACCAATAACACCACATAAATAGAAACTTAATTAAGCGCTAGTGGGTGCAGGCAAATCTCAATCAGATTTTTTGTTCCTATGAATTTTTGATAGGAATGCTCATAGGAACATGTTTGTATACTACTTTCACTTTCTTGAGTCGATTGATTGCTTTCTTTACTATCTGTTCCTATGTTCCTATCTGTTTCTATGAAGATAAAAGTTCTAAAAAAAAAATCATTTTTTCTTATGCTATCTTTATTAGATATAATATAATAAATATATGGTATATATTTATACTATAAAAAAAAAAAAAAAGTATAAAACTTCGATTTTCATAGGAATGGATAGAAACATAGAAACACCCTTTTAGAAATAATTCAAATTACTTTTTACGGCCAAGACACTATACAGAAGAGTTCCTATCGTGTTCTTATAGTGTTCCCAAGAATTTTGATAGAAACATGGATTCAACTAGGTTTGTTAGTAATCAATGGGTATTGTACCATTCGGTAATAACTGTGCTTCTGCCATCTTGTTTAGCTTTTTTCGGTGATATTGCTCTCTGGCTTGATATTTTTTTGCATGTGTATTACAAAACCCAGATTCAGAAATAGTCGACTTACCGCATTCTTTGCAGGGGACTTGTTCAGAAGAATTCTGATGGACTTTGCATCCTTTTGGGTGATAGCATCTCCGATTACACACCTCTCCGGTTCTAAGAACGTATGGACAATGATAAAATGCCATTTGTGTATATTGATTAATAATCTTGGGAATTATTTTCATTTTAAACTTTTTTCTTGTAAGTATTATACTTTTAGATTTGGTATAGCTAGAAAATTTCTTTTGAAAAAATGACTGAACAATCAGAGCTTTCGGAGTTCCCCGACGCACCCCCACCCTGTTCTATTGTGGGTTTAAAGCTTCCGATATAGGTCAATGCCTATATAAAATTCGTGATAATAGTGTAAGACCAAGGCACTTTCTTGGTGCAGATAATGAAGATGGTATAGAGGCTATACTCTCAAATCGTGAAGACCATTCCTTACATGAATTTATCGATAGAGATGAACTACTCCATCCTATTATAGATTTTGATTTGTTACGAGAGATATACAATTCTATTGAGCCTAAACTCTCAGGTAAAGAGATACAAGATTTACTTATTAGTGCTTTTATAAAGGCGTGTCGTAAGATATTCCCGAAATGGGACCATAAAACTATAACCATTGCCAGTAGTAATGATGCAAAAAAAATGTCATACCATATCACGACTTTTGGTATGAGACTTAAAAACATCGCTCAGGTCGCAGTATTTACTGAGCTTGTCTGTAAAAAACTCCCAGTAAGTTTACAAGAGAAAAGCATTATTGATAATATAGCAAATAAAAGTTCTTTCTCCTTGCGAATGCTTGGATCACCCAAGTATAAGGAAGAAACGAAAAAACATGTTCGTGTTAAAAAAGCAATGTATCCAAAAGATGGTTCTATTTTTGACTTTATGATTCATCCACCTAACGATGAATCAGAAGTCATAGAAAGCCCTCTCTTAGAAATTCTGAAAGAAACAGTGAAAAATAGTAAAGCAGATAATGGAACTATTGGAGCTGAGGTCTATTATGTAGAGAAACTACTAAATATAATGAATATCAAAGGTTTTGATATTTTATATCCAACTCCTGTGTCTTCAAATATTTTTACTTTAAGACGTATAACAGAATCTCATTGTCCTTTATGTAACCGGGATCATACTAATGAAAATACATATATTATTCGAAATAAAAAAACCTATCATTATTATTGTCATCGTGCAGATCAAGATACACCTAAAGGTACAAAGAAACCTTCATTAAAACTTGTCATTAATGAGACTATTAAAAACTGGGAAAAAAGTTTACTACCTCCCCAAAAAATAGAACGTCCCAGAATTTCTGATCCAAATGATCACTTCGTATGGGGTGACTTATTGCGTATATGTACTTCAGACAAAAATTTCTCTCGCACTGATGTCTATGAGGCGATCCAAGCAACAATTGCCTGTGTTCAAAAAAAAATGAAAACATGGATTCTCAAACATAGGAATCCAAATGGTAGACTTATGTTCGATATGGGGCCTAAATTAGATCTTGCTGAGTTTAAGATTAATATAATCGAATGTAAGGGTAAATCAATAAACTTAAAATTATTGATCAATCATGCCCTCACTAGTGGCGTAATACATTATGATGATATTAATTTTCTCCCATATCCTCCAAATATTAATCCACCAAAGACTGAATTCTTTAATCTTTTCTTAAGATTTAAGACCAAACCGACATTCCAAATTAACTATGATCTCGTGGATCCCATTATCTGGCATATAGAAAATATCTGATGCAATGGAGATAAAAATCTTTCCGAATATGTCCTATAATGGTTTGCATTCCTAGTTCAGTATCCAAGTACAATTCCTGAAACTATTCTTGTATTGCGCTCTCCACCACGTTGTGGAAAAAACATTATTACTGATTTTATTTGGAAAAGCTTATTTGGACCAGAACTTGTTTACTCGACCTCCGATCTCAGTAAAATTCTTGGACGATTTAATAGCTCCATTCAGGCACGAAAGCTTATTATTATGAATGAAACAGGAATGGCTAGTGGTGAATGGCATAAAACAAATGATCACTTAAAATCTCTTATTACAGAAGACTATGTTTCAATTGAATGTAAAGGTCTTGAATCTCAGGATTGTAACCATTTCGCCGGATTTATAATTCTAAGTAATCATGATGCTCTGATTCGAGTGGAAATGGGAGATGGATGTATTGTATGTTTAGATGTCTCCCCTCACTGTAAAAACAATTTCACATATTTTGATCAATTGGGAGGGATTCTCGACCACCCCAATACACCTGGATCTTTTATATCATATTTGCTTAGTCTTAATCTTTCGGAATAGAAGCCACGTAATATTTCTTCAACTAAAATGAAGATAGAAACAATGCGAGACCAGCTTCCATCTCCTATCTGATTTATCATTAATCACATTATATCATGGTCAGAAGGATATACTGAAAAAATAATATGTGATAATTTATACCAAAAATATCTTGAATGGTGTGAGAATAATGGTGAAAAGCCATTAATCAATAAAGTCACTGGGGGAAAATTTTCCCTAATTAGTATTGATCGAAAGCGAGCGCGAGTTGATGGAAAGATAAAATAGATTTATACCCTTGACCGCTCCAAAATCATAGCTAGGCTCCGTGAATTGGTAGGTGATATTGAAAAATTTTCTGATATACCTGAAGCCGACTTACCCACAAATGAATCCACAGACATACCTATATTCAATTCGCCAGAAATCAGTCCTCCCAAGATAGCCCCTTCTCAACCAGAAAAGAATTCAGATAAACAGGATAATTCGATCCAAGCTCTTTTCGACTATGTAGTAGAACAAGCTAAACCCCTAGTTGCCTCAACATCCAGAACTTCTGAAGAATCTAGATCTCCAGAGACTATCAGTCCTAGTGATAAAGGAGTTTCCCCTGAACCAGTAATCAAAAAGCCACCCGAATCTATTAAATCTAGTAACGAGCTATTATGCAAAGTGTCTCTCAGCCCCTCCATTCTCTTATCCAGAGCCCAGCGCGAAGAACGCCTCAGAAAAAGGGCAATCGAACTCAGTGAAGATCTAGACATCTTCATGAGAATCACAGAAAAAGACAGACTCAACTCCATTACATTCCGAGATAGGATGGAAACTGATGCACGAATATGTAGTTATGCGAAAGATGTGAAAGAAGACCCCAATGAATATATGGATATGAAAATACGGGAAAGATTGATAGGGGAAGAAATTATTCGTCGTGATCTTGAAGATAAAGAAATCACAACCTCGTGGCTTGATACTGATGAGGAATGGAAAAAAATGGTAGGTATACTTCAGGAGAATGGTATGCTTTGGTAGAGAGCGAATAAGTGCAGATTAACAGATATTGATAGAAAATGATTAGCGCTACAAATTATAATACGTATATGACTAAATGAAACAATTCATCAAATTTAATTATTAAGCACCCATTGAGGGGGGTACTCAACAACATCTTTTACGATTTGAAGCTCCTCTCTTACAAAAGATCTTTCTGAACCATTACCTTTTTCATCTTCTAGCTAGTATAAATTGGTTGATTTTTTTGTACCTAAGATTTACGGATATAATAAACTTGAGGACTCCAATTCATATCGGTTATTCTTCTTTTAGCAGGACTATGTTCTAGTTTGCCAGGCTTAAGAAGATATCTCACTATGTCAAAATGGGATAAACAAGGTTCATCATATCTGATAGGTCTTCTGTGCTTTACAGCTGGCTTAGCAATAATTTTCTCACCATTTAGTGCTTTTTTTACTGCTTCATTAGGAGACATACCTATTTGCCGAGTAGGAGTGCTATTAAATAGATCGTTATTTATGTAAAGATTTTTAACCCATGATCTAGATCTTTTGAATAAAGGTAATAGCAAATCCTTAGCATCTTGTTGAATAAAAGAATGTTTTTCAAATTCTTAGTGATCACGCTCTGCAATAGCATTACCTTCTTTTTTTTTAGCATACTGAATTGTTACGCCATACTTAAGTAATAAATCTCTACACTCACCCAAATATTCAGTTCCTTTGTCTATGATTAAAACTTTTGGCCAGCTGAGTGGGCAATTCGAATTATTATAAATTTTTTGAATTGCTCTAGACATTTGCATAGCTGTTTTATTAGTCAAAGCAAAACTGTGCCGATATCTGGTTGCAATATCTTTTATCACACCTCTATACTTGTAAATTCGATTGCCAACCTTTTCGTGGGGCATAGCCGTAGTATCGGACTGGTGTACTTCATTTAAAATTTGAATATTATTAAAGGAAGAATACTGAATAAACTTTGGTCGAGGCTTGTGAATCTGAAATAAAGCCTGGTGGTTTAGCCATTTTTTATTACAGATAGAGAAAACTTATATCTGGCTTTATTACAAGCATCCTGCATTTTTTTAGCAGTTCGATAATAGCCTTCAGGTCGATAATATATCTCTCGTAAAATAAGATTCTTTTCGATTCTCTGGGCCTTATCTGGATCGATATAAATAACCAGTTCCCCTATTCTGATTTTTTTCTTTTATAGTAAATAAAAATATGAAGGAATTACAACAAAGTAATCAAGAACTCTATGAGGTAGTATCGCAACTAGCAGAATCAAATAAAAATTTCGAAAAACAACTATATATCTTAGAAAGAATTATAGGTATACGAGAAGAAAGAATACGATTTCTTGAAGAAGAATTGAATAGCGCTATCGAACTTTCTATACAAGAGAAAGAAGAATTAATAGAAGAAATCTCAAAACTCAAAAGAATCGTTCACCAACTTGAGGAAGAAAATAAAAAGAAAGACAAAGAAATTTCTAATAAAGATATATTAATA